AAAAAAAAAAAAAACTTTAAAAAAATTATTTTAGGGGCACCTGGGTGGCTTAGCTAAGCGTCCAGCTCTGGCTCAGGTCATGATCTCACGGTTTGTCAGTTCGAGCCCCGTGTCGGGCTCTGTGCTGACGGTTCAGAGCCTGGAGCCTGCTTCAGATTCTGTATCCACCTCTTTCTCTGCCCCTCCCCTGCTCATGCTCTCTCCCTCTCAAAAATAAACACTAAAAAAAATTTTTTTTAAATTATTTTAAAACTTGGGCAACAAATTGATCCTGTAGAGGACAGAAAATCACAAGATAAATGTGATTTCTCACTGCCATCAACAGCAGTTTCAAACTATGATGTCAGGAATCTTTTACACTCTTAAAAATTTTTACATTCTTAAAAATTATTAAGGACCCCAAACATAAATTTATGTTTACATGGATAGTATCTATCAACATGTACTGTTTTAGAAGTTAAAATGGAATTTTAAAGATATATATTCTATTAATTCATTTACAAATGACAATAAATTGATTATATTGGTAATACAACTAATGTTTCATGAAAAATAACTATTTTCCAAAACAAAATAAAATGTGAGAAGAATAGCATTATTTTACATTTTTTTTTAACACTCTTTAGTATTTGGCACCTGTATTCTCATGTCAGCTCCTGCATTCAGACCCTAGGAATCTGTACAGTTCGGTAAATGCCTATCTAACAAAAAGGATGAATACCTAATTTCACTTTCTTCATTAAGGTGATTTCATTAAGTACATAAATCTATTTAATTTTTATCATGGAAAAAATTATTTTTCAAACTTAGTTATGTTTTATGCTTATTTATGTTTTATGCTTCATGCTATAGCACAAAATAGGTGCCCCATAAATATTTGCCAAATAGATAAATTTTCTTAGGGTCTGTTTTTTGTTTTTTTGTTTTTTTTTTAAGTTTATTTATTTATTTTGAGAGGAGAGAGAGAGAGAGAATGAATGGGGAGGGGCAAAGAGAGAGGGAGTGAGAGAATCCCAAGCAGGCTTTGTGCTGTCACTGCAGAGCCCCACATGGGGCTCAGTCTCATGAACCATGAGATCATGACCTGAGCCAAAATCAAGACACTTAACCAAATGAGCCACCCAGGCGTTCCTCTTAGGGTCTGTATTTGTCTAACTGTAACTGACTGCATGCTAGTAATTTTGTCTTTCATTGCAGTCTGTGAACTAATGAGGTCAGGATATGAGCTAATTCTGACTCTAGGATATTAAGTTCACTCCAAGGTCTAGATAATAAAAAAATTATCTTGGCTTCACCCAGGTAAGCAGGGTACAAACCTATCTCTGTCGTATGAAAGAAGATTTCTTGCACTTCTTGGCTTCTTCCAGAGATACCATCAAGGAGAACGAAGACTGAACTGTTTCTAGTAAAAATAATAATAGCTGCTTTTAATAATAATATTAAGAACAACAACAATAATAAATAGCTGCCTTTTAATGAGTGTTTACTAAATATCAGGTACTGGGTTAGGCATGGATCATGTCATTTCATTTTTAAAATAACCCTGTGAGGTAGACATTATCTCCATTCTATAGATGAGTAACTTTCACAAAATCTCTTAGCTGGCAAAATCTAACGCCAGGGCCTTTGATCACCTGACTGCTTCTGGACTGAAGAGCTCTGGATCAGGGAGTAAGAGTAGGAATTGGAAAAGCTATTTTTGTTATTGGGTCTACTTCTTCATACAGTTAATGTAGATGAGAGGATACAGAGATAATTCAGTGCTTTTCTCTCTCCTGTAGCACCAACTGAAAAGCAAAGAATGACTGACTTAGTTACTCCTCTGGATGCTGATCAGTCCTGGGTCCAAACTGAGTTCCAATGGAGCAAGGGTAGGATTTGAGAGACCTGTCACTTGTTAATTACTGAGCACAGACACAGAATCTTGGTAAATACAAAAATAGCATTCCCTGTATACTGTGTTCATAAGGAGTTTAAACATGAGTGGGGTGCTAAAATATTTGTACACAGAATAATACACCAGGAAATATAAAGTATCTAATAGTGTTGGCCTTTGGATGAAACTTTTGTACCACCTGTGTCAAAGAGGAGAGAATAGGTTACAGATGTGATTAACTTTGTGCTGGAATAAATATTTCTCCATGGCTCCAGGAACTTTCGTGATAAGGGTAGAAGAAGTTTTCACAGAGGAAGATAATAAAGTTTCTTATTCTCAGTTCCTCCCTTAGAGATAAATTCTGGATTCAAATGCAGACCAAGAAATAGGTCAAGAGCACTCGATCTTACGCCTCCCAGTCACAGTTTCATTTTGGGACTCCTTAAGATGCTAAGAGAACTAAAACTGGTTTTGACTTATTCTGAAAATGACTATGTAGAGCTTTTCCTAGAGCTAATGCTCACAGAAATTTATGGATGTGGAAGAGAGAGATCTTTTTTTTTTTTTTTGAAGAATTTTTTTCTTTTAAGTAAACTCTATGCCCAATGTGGGGCTTGAACTCACGACCTTGAGATCAACAGTCGCATGCTAATGGAGTGAGCCAGCCGTGTGCCCTAAGAGGGATCTTTCTTTAAATTTTTTTTTAATGTTTTATTTATTTTTGAGACAGAGCATGAGCAGGGGAGGGGCAGAGAGAGAGGGAGACACAGAATCCCAAGCAGGCTCCAGGCTCCGAGCTGTCAGCACAGAGCCCGACGCAGGGCTCAAACTTATGGACTGTGAGATCATGACCTGAGCCGAAGTTGGACGCTTAACCGACTGAGTCACCCAGGCGCCCCTAGAGGGATTTTTCTTGAAGAACCAAAGAATAGTTCCTTATTTTTCAAAGGTCTACAAGTTAGAAATTAATTACAGTTAATGATAACACCATGGAATACTAGATTTGGGAAAAAATCTTAAGGGCACGGGTGGCTCAGTCGGTTAAGTGTCCAACTCGATTTAGGCTAAGGTCATGATCTCTCTGTTTGTGGGATCCAGCCCAGAGTCACGTTCCAATCTAACAGCATGGAGCCTGCATGGGATTCTCTGTCCCTCTCTTTCTCTGCTCCTCTCCCACTCATGCTCACTCTCTCTCTCTCTCTCAAAATAAACTTAAAAAAAGAAAAAAAATCTTAGATATCATGTCATTACTTCTTCTAGATGATAAAACCAAGACCCAAAAGTTAAGTGACTTAAGTTTATATGACTTATTAATGGTAGATTTGGGAATAGAATTGAGTACTAATAGGTAATTTATTTCTCATCCTTCCTAATTTCCTTTCTTCCAGGCTACTAAAGTTCTAAGTATTTCCATAATTTTTTGTTTAGGCAGGAAGGTGACCAAGACCCAGGATATTTGTATTTAGGAAGAGCTCAGTCTCAGTTCTACTTTGCCCTCCAGTTAAGATCTTCTTGATTTTTGATGTGAGGGAAACTACCATTTATTAAGCATTTCCTTTGTGCCATGGTCTTCATATATATTATCTCATTGAATAGTTATAGGATTCTTGTAAAGTAGACCAGCACTTCTAATTTTAATAGGCATAGGAATCACCTGGGGATCTTGTTAATGCAGATTCTGATTTTGCAGGTTTGGGATGGGGTTTGAGATTCTGCATTTCCAAAAGGTTTCCAGGAAAAACCAATAATGTTTTGGTCTTATTTTGAGTAGCAAGGATGTTGATACTATCTTCATCTTCTAGATGAAAAAACAGACTTATAGAGATTAAGTAAACTGCTGCAGTTCCTTCCTACAGGCAATAAATGGAAGACTAGTAGATAAAATGATAGGTCTGACCTAGGTCTTTCTGACTCTACAGCTCAAGATGTGATAAGAGAAGCCAGGAAAAAAATGGAAAGAGAGCTTATGTTCTAATATTTCTCAAACAGGTCACTTTGCAAGTAAGTCAGTGGCAGAATCTAGGAATAAATTAAAAAGTCCTGGTTCCCAGCCCAGTTTTTTCCCTTTGCCTTCCATCAGCCCCCTAATCAGGATTTTTTCTTTCATGCTTAGCAAACCATATTTAAAATTGGCTTTGGATTTTTATCCTTACAGGTTTATTGCTAAACCCTGTGCACTCCGTGTTGGCATCCAGGACAGTGGTCCTTATCAGGCGCAACCCAATGCCATCCTTGAAAAGGTGTTCGTATCTATTACCAAGGTAAGTCGGCAAAGAAAGAGAGGAAGATTCATGTGAGAGGTTACCCCATAGGGCAGGGGGCGGTAGAGAGCAAGTGTCTCCAAGGATAGGGATAGGATGGGATGATCTTTCACATTTCGGTAGTCTATATAACCATAAGGAGAACTTTATCCCCTCAGGGAAATACCTTTGGGTCAGGATCCCTTAAATAAGTTTACATACATTTGGATTTTAGACCTAGTAACCACAACCCCACCTTCTCCAGACACACATCGTATTTTGATTTTGTTTTTCCCTGCTCCAGTTTCTGTCATTATCTAGTTGCATAATCCAGATAGGGATGGTACCAATAGCCTTTGTAGTTTTTTTTTTTTCAAGTTTATTTATTTATCTTGAGAGCGAGCACAAGCAGGGGAGGGGCAGAGAGAGGGAGAGAGAATCCCAAGCAGGCTCTGCACAGTGTGGACCCTGATGTGGGGCTGAACTCACAAACTGTGAGATCATGACTTAAGCTGAAACCAAGAGTCGGAGACTTAACCAACTGAGTCACCCAGGTGCCCCTGCAGTTTGGGTTTTTAATAGCTTTTTTTATTCAGCTTGGGCTGGAGAGAGAAGACCAAACAAGGATTCTAAAGGAAAGCTAATAAAGCTTGGCTACAGACAAAGGTCTTTGATATGTGAAATAGGACTTCTTACTAAAAATGAGTATGGGGGTGAAACCTAGAAGGATAAACATCCCTTAAACCGTTGTAGTTGTATATCCCCCCTTTTTGCCACTCAGCTAGTCAGGGGGATTTAATGAGAGGGTTGAAGAGAAAGGGACGTTCTGACTCTGGTCATGCATCCACAGTATCCTGATGAGAAAAGGCTAGAGGGCCTGTCAAAACAACTGGATTGGGATGTCCGAAAAATCCAATGCTGGTTTCGTCATCGGAGGAATCAGGACAAGCCCCCAACGCTCACTAAGTTCTGTGAGAGCATGTAGGTGTGCATATGGAGGTGGGGAGTGAGAAGGGTGGGGTATGACTGGACTGAGGTTTTCTTTTGGTAGGACAGTAGTCAATGAATGTAGAGGGCTGACTCAATTTATTGTAGGCAGGAAAGAAGAGAACTGGAAGACCGGTCGCCCTTAGTGTCTTGAACATGCCGCCATTAAGCTACATGTTGTAGTTTGATTTTGTTCTTCCTTCTCAAATAGATTGGGAGTGAATTCCTATAACTGCACTTATATAGGTAGATAGGCACACCCTTGTACACCTTGGTAGAGATAGTACCGGCTTGCGGTAAATTGACATTTTGGTAGGAAGTATCCTTTCCTGGACATACTGTACTTCATTTCACTGGGTTTTTACTAATTATCCCCTGTACACAGAACACAATTGATCATTGTCATGCAAAGAAAATATTAGGCACTATCATTAGGGAGTCTGATATGGAAGAAAAGTTGATTATAACCAGTATACACTGGTGGGAATCTATTTTAAACAAAGCTGGAAGACGTCTATCATTTCGGATTTTTAGGTAACAATATTTGTCCCCGTGCTGGGAACTTTATCTTTTTTTTTTTTTTTTGAAGATGTTATTTATGTATATATTTTTAAGTAAACTCTTTGTTCAACCTGGGGCTCAAACTTATGACTCCCATGATCAAGAGTCACATGCTTTACTGGCTGAGCCAGCCAGGTGCCGCTCTGGGATCTTATTTCTTACCCATAATTGTGTTGTCCCCAAATCTGCTATCCTGACCTCCTTAGCCTCAAAAACTTTCTTTTGAGTGAATATTCATCTGACCTCTATTCTTTGCCCACCCAGGTGGAGATTCACTTTTTATTTATGTATATTCTGCTATGGAATTAGATTTCTCTGGTCGGTAAGTCTAAACTCTCTCTGGTCCTCTGTTGGGTTCTAATCATGCCTACATCTCTAGAGATAAGAGTTGTGTGATACCATTAGATCTTTATTTCCTCCCTGCCCTTTTATTTTTTTCTGTAATGCCTACAGCCCAGGTTTATATGCCAAATAGATTGTTGTCTGTCTGGCATCTGATTTTGTAACTTTACTGTTTCTCCCTTTATTTAGGGGAGATAATTGTAATAGTAATAGCATAGTACACAAATAGTAATAGTATTGATTAAATCAGATGTGATTTAATCTGATGCTGGTTTACAAAGTCTGTGATGGTTTACAAAGCATTTGACAAAGATCTTGTTCTTCCAAGGAGACAGTTGTAGAAATCAGGGTTAGGTTACTGTAGGAATCAGTAAACCTTTAAAGTGGATAAAACAGGTATTATTCCTGCTTTTCAGTTAATTGTCAAAAGAATTTCAGGCTTTTTGATTCCTGAGTCCATGTTGTTTTTTCCACTGTACTGTACTATTTTCCTCTAAATGTTATAATTAAGACTTCAAAATACATTAAGTAAAAAGCAGAACTGAAGGAAGGGAACAGATAAATATACACCACGGTTGGTGACTTTTTTAAAAAAATCTTATAAAAAATTGTTTGATGTTTATTCATTTTTGAGAGACAGAGACACAGCGTGAGTGGGGGAGGGGCAGAGAGAGGGAGAGAGGGAGACACAGGATCCGGAGCTGTCAGCACAGAGCCCGATGCAGGGCTCAAACCTACGAACTGTTAGATCATGACCTGAGCTGAAGTCAGTTGCTTAACTGACTGAGCCACCCAGGGGCCCCTGAAATCTTACAAAATATGTTCTGTGATCATAATGAAATTAAATTAAAAATGAATAATAATAAGATATCTAGAAAATATTTGGAAGTGAAACTCTTCTAAATGACCCATGGATCAAAGAAGAAATCACAAGGGAAATTAGAAAATACTTAATTGAAATGATGCTGAAAATCCAACATACCAGAACTTAGGAGATGCCCCTAAAGCATGCTTAAAGGGAAATTTATAACTTTATATGTTTATATTAGAAAAGAAGAAAGCTTTAAAGTCAATAATACAAGTTTCTACTTTAAGATCTGGAGAAAGAAGAGCAAAGTAATGCCAAAGTAAGTTAAAGGAAAGAAATAATAATTAAAAACAGTAAAAAAATTAATGACATAGGCAATAGACAAAGCCATGAGTTGGTTCTTTGAAAGGTTTCATTAAAATTGGTAAACCCCTAGATAAAAAGAAACAAATCATCAGTGTCAGAGAGAAAAGGGCGGGGGGGCTGTAACTATAGATCCTGTAGACATCGAAAGTATAGTAACACAATATTATGAACAATCAAATAGTAAAAAATTCAACAACTTAGATGAAATGGACAAATTTCCTTAAAGGACATTGAAACTCCATTAGAGATAATTATTTTTGATTTAAATCTTTGCCATGCAGATCTCTCTCTTGGTTGTCGAATGGAATCACGGTCTTCCTGCATCCCTGCACCTGGTTCCTATATCCTAGGTGTTGAGGTTTTTAAAAACTATCCTAGAGCTCTCCCTGCTCTTATTTATTTCAAAGCATGGCTTTTCTATTTGTAATAATACTTTTCTTGCTCTAGAACAAAAACCTAACCATTTATTGACCTTTTAAGGACCCCCTAAATTCTGTCAAGAGGGGGATTCCTTTTTCTTCCCCATTTCTCTTTTGCTCCTAGCAGAGAGAGAAAGGGATTATTCTGTAAACCAGGGTTGAATCCTAAAGGCTGACTTGGATTATCTCTTTCCTTTTAGTCACCTTGGTTCTGGGACATCCGACAGTGCTGGCATAGCTATCCGTATCAGGTACAGTCTGAGCCCTTTCAAGGCAGGGGCCTCGTGTGTGTGTGTAAGGTGGGGTGGGCAGGACAGTCCCAGAGCAGATGGCATGTTTTCTTGGTTTTCTTGAGGGATTAGGGGCTGAGTCTCTTTGACTCATGTATTTAGGGTATCTATTTCTGGGCCTCCCATAGCTGTGAAATCCAGTGATCTTTTCCAGATTCCCCGTTATATTCACCCTAATTGGGCCCAAAAGAAAAGCAGCTTCCTGGCACTTGATGAGATGCTTTCTGGCTCAGGTGTCCTTTTTGAATCAAGGGTAACTTGGAGTCTCCTTAAAAGCATCTTGGTTCTAATCTATTCTAGAAAAATGTCGAGGGGCTGTAACAGGGTGGAAGAAAAGACCTGAGTATATTAAATCCCCTGAAAAGCACTAATTGTCCAGAATTCTAGATACACTGATTTGATTGTGCTATAGTATGTGTTAACCTTATGTCTAAAGATGCGAGTAGAAAATGTGTATGTGGAGGGGCAGAGGGAAGAGGTTTAAGTCTCCATACCAATCCCAAATCTGTTAGCTGTTACAGATCTTGCAACACGGTGGGGAGGAAGGGTGTCTAATAATTTTGGGTATTGGTCCTCCAAGACGGAGAAAGTTGCGGAGATGGAATGAATTTTTGACTAGCTGGTATTCTAACTACTTCTTTCTCTCTTTCAGCCTCTCACAAGTGGGCTTTATTACTATTATATCATGGAATTGGCCTTCTATTGGTCTCTCATGTTTTCTCAGTTTATAGACATTAAACGAAAGGTAAGGACATTGTCTCCCTCAACTCTAACATACTGCATCCTCCTTTCTAGCAGCCACCATCACTGCCCTTGTGGATTCTCTACCCTGATTGGGACCACAAAAGAGGGAAAAAGTAGGCTTGATGGGACTATTAGCTTTTTGTAACCTTCTCAGAAATGAGACTTGACTAATGATGAAGTAAGTATATTTGAGGCGTTCAGGGCAGCCCAGGATAAAAAGTTAACCAGCTAAAAAGCATATCCTTTTCCTTATTTTCTCTAAGGTTCTTACATGTATAGAGCTTTGGAAACTAGTCAGAACTAAGGGATAGCAAGGCCTGATCCAGGAAAAGGCCGGCCTCCAGAATAGCTAGATCTGGCTTTTGTTTTGCTGTAGAGCCCTCGTTCTCTCTCTCTCTCTCTCTCTGTTCTCCCTTCTTGGTGACCCCACTTACTTAAAGAATGTCAACTGGAAAGGGTTTTAGATGATTTCATTTACCATTTTCTTGCTGTTGTTTAGGAAACAAAGATTCGGAGAAGTGAGTTGACTTGCCCATATAGTGACAAAGTTGGGAATGACTTAAGTTTTTTATAAGTGGACAGAAAGGGCATAATCTTTACTTTATTGGTATGCACCTGAAGTAATGTGGTTCCAGCAGCTCTGACTTTAATTTGTCACTATCTCATGGTTATCTTTGGTGAGGAAGACCAGAATTAGCATTTATGGGAATGTATTAAAACTAATCTGGGTTATTAGTTGTTGTGTAATCTAGAAGCTTGATACTCAATTCAAATGTCTTGCACTCTTCTATGGTCAGGAGACACAGGTCCCCTTATTAAAATTTTATTTTAAAACATGACACATATAAAAAGATTTGTAATATATATGTGGGTTTTATTTTATTTATTTTTTTTTTAATGTTTTTATTTATTTTTGAGACAGAGTGAGACAGAGCATGAGCCGGGGAGGGGCAGAGAGAGAGAGAGAGAGAGAGAGACAGAATCCGAAGCAGGCTCCAGGCTCTAAGTTGTCAGCACAGAGCGGCGTGGGAGGCAGACTCACGAACCTGGCGAGATCATGACTGAAATCCCAGGCCCGGCTGGAGCACCCAGGTGCCCCTATATGTGGGTTTTAAAACATACTAGAATGTATACTTATGAACCCACCCCCAACTCAAGAACTATAACATACCACTATATCTATGTGGAGAGCACAGACTTTTCATCCTTGTTTCTCTCACCCAAATTCACCTGTCTTCTCCCATTCTCTGTCCCTCAGTGGGCTGAGAAGTATTTATTAGACATGTCTGATAACAGGTATTTAGAGATTTCTGAGTCTGACCTTGGCATTTGAACCCAAGAGGAAATTAGAGCTTTAAATCTGAAAGCAGAAAGTGCTTACAGTTAAAATGGATTGTTTAGCATTTCTCTGAAACTTTTTTGAAGAGGTTAGCTTTGCCCTTCCATAAACCTCTCCTTTCTGTTAGGTCTCTTTGGTTGAAATATCTTTCATCAAAACAGTCTTAGAATCTCACAGATTACCTATGGCTTGTAGGTCTGACTACCACCTAGGAAATTATTTCCAAGTGTCAACTCAGCATACATGGTCTACATATTCCACAACTTCCAAAGAAAACTGTTATTTTCTGTGCTTTGAACTATATTAACATAGATTATGGGTCAGTCACTGGTGTAGAGTTTTGGGTCAAACGGTAGGGGTGCTCCATATGGGAGAGTTCAGACAAAATGGAACCTCTAAGCGGTGGGAGAAGATCCTCAGAGAACATGCAGGGCATTGGGTTGGCTGATATCTCTATGGCCTTGCCTTTACCTGCCCCTTCTATTTCCATTCCTTGCTAGGACTTCCTGATCATGTTTATGCATCACTTGGCCACCATTGGGCTCATCACCTTCTCCTATATCAACAACATGGTTCGGGTGGGAACTCTGGTCATGTGTTTACATGATGTCTCAGACTTCTTGCTGGAGGTGAGACCCCCCCCCCCAACTCCTTTTTCCTCATTATTCCTCTCTTTCTCTCCTTTTCTTCCTATTTGAGAACCGGCTTTCTCTCAACTCAATTCTTATTTTCCTTTCTCCAGGCAGCCAAACTGGCCAATTATGCCAAATACCAGCGTCTCTGTGACACCCTTTTTGTGATCTTCAGTGCTGTTTTTGTGGTCACTCGTCTAGGAATCTACCCATTCTGGTGAGTGTTAGGGTCATGGAGCTGTGGTCAGTATGTAGCTAATGATACCTTTTGCCAATTTAGGAAATAGGCCACCAAAAACCCTATTGCCCTGCTTTATCCTTGGCTTAATCTGACCCTTTGTGGACTCACAGGACCCTCCCACAGTATTCCTAGGGAGGTGTAATCCAGACTGAGAACATCCAACTCACTTGGCTGTGGCTTTCCTGACTCCTGTCTGAGGGACAGCCCTCACTTTATGCCTAAGTAATTCCTTTGCCTTCTTTTGCGCTGATTATAAAATTCTCAGGCTCTTCTTGTTTTCCCGCTCTTATACCTTCTACCCCACCCTAACCACATACCACTCTGACTTGTACACTCCCTACTTGATGGTACAGAGTCAGTGACTGCAGGTTGGAGATTTTGCTTAGTCTGAGCGAATCAGCCACCACCTGTCCTGTATGTGCCTGAGGATCTGAGTAATGACTAGGATTATGATTAAAATTGCTGCTCCAATTTTGTGAAACTCTGCGTATTTGAAACGATTAAATGTGACTTAATCCACCAATTTCTGAGATTCACATATCTTTCCCTGCCCCTAAAGATAGAAAATTTCATAGGCCCCCTTTCTTTATTTTCTCAGTGTTAATGAATATCCCTAGAATTTCAACTATTAGAATGTATAGGGAGAAAACATACTGGGTTCTGCTTCCCAGGGAACTCCACTTCATTGCTGTCTACTTGGCTTTAACTCTAGAATCTCACCATTGGCCTACTTCTTCTAGGATTCTGAACACGACTTTCTTTGAGAGTTGGGAGATGATCGGGCCTTATCCCTCCTGGTGGCTCTTCAATGGCCTTCTCCTGATCCTACAGGTTCTACATGTCATCTGGTCCTACCTAATTGTGCGAATTGCTTTCAAAGCTTTGATCCGAGGAAAGGTGAGGAGGAAAGATGGCTTCTTTCTTTGGGGCTGGGTAGGAAGATAGATATTACTCAGTAGACTTCTCTAGCCTAGTGAGCCCCAGCTACTCAAGCAGACCCAGCAAAAAGCTTAGGACTCCAGAGGACTCCTTTTCTATAAGTGTTTAGCCTTTTAAGATATCACTAAGAGGGGTGCCTGGCTGGCTTAGTCAGTAGAGCATGTAACTCTTGATCTCTGGGTTATGAGTTTGAGCCCCACCTTAGGTACAGAGATTACTGGAGGAAAAAAAAAAAAAAAAAGATACAGGAGGAAAGATCTGCCTTCTTTCTGTCCCTTACAATAACTGTGGTTAAATAATGAACAGTGTTATGTTTCTAGATGGCTTTAACCATTTCCTACCCCTTACCTACTTCAGTGGATTTCATATTTTTGCTTTTTAGCACAGAAACCTTTTTTCCAAAGGAAATTGTATGTAGAACTCTACACTATAAACTTATGAAAGCAGAAACGTTTGATTGCCTAGGAATGGCATGGTAGTTCACAAGCCACCCCAAGATGACCACACTGTGATGTTTAAGATATGGGACTAAGTACTGACCTCATCCCACTGTTGTATGAAGAAATGATCCTAAATGAGATCGGTATTTAGGGTTTCAAATACCCATCTTATGCCAAGAGCCCAAAAACACAAAGAAAGATGTCATTTATGGTAAAAATGATGAAACTCATAACTGAATTTTGCAAGTTCTGAAGCAGTCAGGCTGGGATTTGCGCATGGGCTGAGGATTCAGCCTTCGGCAAATGCAGAGCCCAAGCTGGGAGGGGTGGTGGGGGGGCGGGGGAGGGGGCTCTGCTAGAGGAGACACTGACTCTAGGACAAAGGGATGGAATGTAATGTAACCCAGGCATATATGATTTCTTGTGTCCCTGTTCCTTATGGCTGCAACTGGTTTCAGAACTTGCTCAGTGTGCCTATGCATCTTGCTGTAGCTACTAGACATCTCTCTTCTCCCCTGCTTTTCTTTCCTGACCAGGTGACCTATCCAGGAAGGATTAGACCCAGACTCTGTACTCTCCACTCTTTTCTCACCTCCTTCCTTTTTTCTATGCCTGGTGGGAGCTGGACAGTTTCATCTCTTGCATGTAAGTGTATCTGTGCTTCTAGTGTTCAGTAAAGCATGTCTGTCTGAATGTGTTCCTCTTCCTTCCTGCTTCCCTTCCTGTTCCCTGTGTTGTCTCAGAGCATGCCTGTCTCCTGACCTTGTGGGGCCATTGTTGACTGGAGCTCAAGTTGCCAGATAGTTTTTTCTAAATGGAGGCAAGAGTTGAGTCGACTCTTATTTTTTCCCCTTTCTGAGCCTCCCTTTACCTCAAATCTGTCAGTTGCCTGGGCTCAGAGGTCAAAGCTGCAATAGATCACAGAGTCTTAGAGCTAACCAAAGCAAGTGCCCCACTCCTTGGCAACAGCATATAGATCTTTGTTCCCTTCTCACCCCCTTCTTTCCTTTACTTTTTTTAAAATTTATTTTTTATGGACTTATTTTTTTAAGCTTATTCATTTTGAAAGAGAGACAGCGTGTGTACTCAAGCAGGGGAAGGGCAAAGAGAGAGAGAGAGAGAGAGAGAGAATCCCAAGCAGGCTCTGCCAGTGCAGAGCCCAACGGCGGAGCTCAATTCCACAAACCGTGAGATCATGACTTGAACCGAAATCAAGAGTTGGACACTCAACAGACTGAGCCACCCAAGGCGCCCCTAACTTTTTTTCTTTTTTAAAAAAACACATTGAGGGGCGCCTGGCTAGTTCAGTTGGTAGAACATGAGGCTCTTAATCTCAGGGTCATGAGTTCAAGCCCCACATTAGGCACAGAGCTTACTAAAAAAAAACCAAAAAAACCCACACTGATTATCTGTCAGTTCTGGAAGTCAGAAGTCTGACAGTCTCACTGGATTTCTCTCCTTTACTTTTTATGGTCCATGGTAAAGAACTAAAAAGACTTTGCTTGATATGCAGGGTAGTTTTGATTAGAAAACGTTTTTCCAGTCCAAACTCTTCATATGAAAATCTAAAACCGAAAAGCTGTGGTTAAGAGGTAAAAAGATTCAGGCTGCCTGAGTGGCTCAGTCGGTTAAGTGTCTGACTCTTGATCTTGGCTTAGG